CCCCAAAACCCCAAAACCCCAAAACCCCAAATAGAATATATGATACTGAATTCTAAGATATTTTAAAATACAATATGAAGAAGTTTAAATCCTACGACAAACTTATGGTAGCATCAGGACTCAGATCAGATGCTGAGTTATCTCTTCCAAAGGCAGACACAGGTAGGCCTACTTTTAATTGATACCTTAATATTTTAGATCTCCAATCCGAAATTATGAAGACAACAAGGGGGAGAGCCATTCTTTTGAACCAAGATCAACAAAAGCAAGATATTGGATTGTCAACAGTAAACTGTCTTGCCTATGCAGTTGCCCACATCTACAATGACATGTGAGGCACTGTCTGGTTCATGTACTTGCTGTATTTCATCACCTACACGGCTGACTATGGGCCTAAAGTGGCCTCTGCAGCTCTGCTGTCAGGCCAAATTACAGATGGAATTGCAGCCAACTTAATTGGGTTTCTGATCGACAAAACAAAGACCAGGATTGGCAAAACGACCCCATGGTTCTTATTTGGAACTTTCTTGACCATGCCCATGTTCTTTCTAACTTTTGGACCCTGATATGCTTGAGATATCGTTTGATCATTCACAAGTCAAGGGTCTTGTAGCTCTAACATGTATCAAACAATCCTATATGCAAATTACATAATTGTTCCTGCTTTGCTCAATATTGGATGCGCAGCAATCCAAGTTTCGACCATGTCCATCATTGTGTCGATTACCTACGACCAGGCGCAGAGAGACTCCTTGATATCGTACAGGAATGCATGCACGTTCGGATCGAACTTGTTCACTCTTTCGATTGCTCTACTGTTGTTTAAGTTTGTTCCGGATGGAATCTGGCAATTTAGAATTCTAATCTGCATTTGTACTATTATCGGAATCATTACCAGTGTATTCTATTTATACGGTATTCGAGAAGTGGATTTATCCTTAAAAGCATTATCTCAAGACATCAAATTCTCAACTTGGTCAGTCGAGTCTGCTGGCAACTCAGTATCCCATTGGTGGGAATGGCTGTCGATTCAGCAGTTCTACTACTATGGCCTTGCATATACACTTGCTAAGATGACGATAAACCTGACAATGATGCTGATTCCATTCTATCTGGTTCACGTGATGATGTTCAAGCAGGCAGAAGAAACTCCAACTCCGCTAGCAATTGCATCAGTTCCGCTTGCATCATACTTTAGTTCGATGGCTTTCACACTGATAATATCGAAAAGACTCAACAAGTACTTCGACCAAAGAAACAGGCTAATAGGGTTGCTCATATCTTCTTGCTTAGTTGCAATATCTTCACTCCCTTTCCTTTGGATCACAGTTAGACTCCACTGGGTCATTTACATCTTGGTGGCAATTCAGGGTCTCGGGATGGCTCTGGGTCTGAACATCACCAGCAGTCTGATCTCTGACATGCTTGGGAGAAACAGCAAGACCAATGCCTTCGTGTATGGAACTTATGGACTTTTTGATAGATTCGCTAGTGGGGCTGTCTTAACAATATGAGCAACAGTGATAGAGGAAGAGAAGTGGCTGAGAATCCTAGTTGGGATCATCCCCATGTGCACTATGTTAGCTGCGTCCATCCTTGTCAGAATTGCTGGAAGAATCAAATAATTTCAACCATAAATAATCCTCCAGGGGTTTTGGGGTTTTGGGGTTTTGGGGTTTTGGGG